AATTTTTTAGTTAAATATATATGTGAGAGTGAACCGGGAAAAAGAGCAGTCTTGCAAGTTATCTAGTCGGTAGGAAAATGGCGAATGTCTCGAAAACATAATTTGTAAAAAGAGTAAAATAATCGTTGATGATTTGAAAAAATGTCACAGTAAAAATTAAATAACAAATAATAATCGTGCGAACTAAAACAGTTGGTAAACGGTTACTGACACGTTTGGTTATTCCGCCAAAAGTTCGTACGTTAAATTCGCGCTATAGTCTCAATGAAAATATTTTATGACTATTATTTTAAACAATTTTTTTATTAATTTACTAATCAAGGGATAATATGTCTAATAACAATATAAGCGAATAAAACTATTTTAACGGCTATAACCGTTATAACGATTCTTTCATTATAATGAAAGAATTCTGGTTAATCCGTACGATTATTTTGAACATTGAACGGTTATTTATTGAACGCTGAACTTTCTCAGTACTCGTGGGTCGCTTGAACCGACCGTGAACCAAAATAATGCTACTCGGGTTGTATTTCTCTAGTAATTTCATCCATCTCTATTGAGAATAAGTAAGAGCTTAAAGCAGAACTTTGGTGCACTCATTTTTCAAATATTTAGTTTGTTAAAAAAAAAAGGATCACGTTCAAAAATAAGTTCACCATTCATTTTTATATTTTTTGTTACGAATTAATAGCATACGTTTACAAAAATAAAAAATCACAGTATTTATTATTTATATGAATATTTCCGCATATTACATATGTCAATTTAGATATTTTCTACTAATTTTTTGAGATGATTACTTATTATTAATTAAACAAAATATTATGCGGACCATAGAAAATATGAATTAAAGTTCTATAGAAAACGATGGCTTTTAACTTTTACATATTATTTCGTCACACATTAATGTGATATACAAAAAAAAATTTTAGCGACATGTTATCCAAGAACATGTTCGAAACGTCCCAATATATTATAAATCCAATGTAATTAAGATGATCGAACAATTACGAACAAATATGACACCATTGAAACGCACGACGGCACTTTTGTCGATAACGAGACAGCGTTGCTATTAGTAACAACAGACTAAGGTCCACATTGTTAAGACAATTACCATTTAGTGTTGTAGTAACAAAAGGTTGTAGTAACTCCTGGATTCTTGATACCTATTTTTAATATTTTGTGATAATCTCGTCCAAATTCTCTATAATTGGAATAAATATAAAATGATAGTGTTTATTTTATGAATTTCTGGTACCGATTTTCAATTTTTTTTAAAAATTTGTTACTTATCTATAACCGTTCCAATAAAGAACGTTAAAACGTTTACACGCGGTGCCATATTGAAAAGTTTGTACAAATATTGTCAATTAAGTTGCCTATACAATACTCCTTATTTCATCAACGTGTACGATTTAACATTATTTAATAAAAATCACCCATCTTACACGACTTACACCACTTATTGCTATCCACAATATTAAGATAAATTCAACATGAAATTTGTTACAGATGATAGATATAACTACACATAATTTTTTTTAAGATAGTCACTAATTAAATAAAAGTTTGATTGTTATTTAGAGAAAAAAAACTAAGGATTTCATTATAATTTTTTATATGGTTAAGCCAAGAATCTTTATCAAAATATACAAAAAATATAAAACATTTTTTATTAAGATAAATAATTAGAAATAATATAAGTATTATGTAAAAACTTTAATTATGTGTTCAATTATAGCTTTTTTAACATTTTTTCCAGTGCAAATTTTATTTTTATGACCTTAAATTTCCAAAAATAATAATTTTCTATTAGATACTTCACCACAAAATCAAAACAATCTCTATTTGTTTCTTCAAGGAGAGTTTAAAAAAAAAAAAAATTAAAAATTAATAGACTACTATTTAACATGTATAAGGTCTTTTTATAAAAAAAGTACTCTGATAATTTTTAAAGTTAAACTTTTTAAAATTACATGAAACCCTGTATTTTTTAGCTTCGATGCGAAGCTGAGAACGTATTGGTTTTATTATGATGTGTTTTTTTTGTGTGTCTTTTACTACTTTTTCTCAGCTCTCATCGAACAGACTTCTTTCAACGATACGTCAAAAGATCACAAATCGTATCTAGTCGAAGTCATTACCCTCAAAAATTGAAAAAAAATCCCTCGTTCCCCATAAATGGGGGAAACCTCCAAAAAAATTACAAATTTAAAAATCGCTAATATTCGAAATTTTTTCAATTTTTTTTACTTAAAATTGCCATAACTTTTTTTAAAAATAACCAAATCAATATTTATTTTTTTTTTATAGATGCATGACATCAGTACTTTTCTTTTGGTATTTTTTTTTTATATATGACCCATTTTACCTGCCTACTGGGGAGATTAAAAATGACAACTTTTTTAAAAAAATTAATTTTTTTAACTTAAATTTTGAAAATGTTCCGGAAAGTCTGACACTTTTATATATATTTTAAATTAAAGCTAATATAATATATTTTATCATGGAAAAAAAACCTATGGACTTGTCTTCATGGTGAAAATGGCTACCAAATGCTATTTTTGTGTGAAAAATCTCGATTTTGTATTTTACATTTTTAACTTTATAATGCTATAACTTATTGAAAAGTGTATGGATCAACACAATTTTTTTATGAAAAATAATATTTTTTATATATCCCTTTTTCATTCGACATAATTTATCTTAGTTAAGATATTAATAAAGAACTAGCAGATCATATAGCTTTTGGAATAATACACCAATTTTTTAAAATTAAACACTATCTAAAGATTTGCATCGAAGCGTTTTTTTTTTTTTGATAGTGATTTTAATCACTGTCAGATATCATTATACTTGATCCAACTATGCCACGTCACCACTGTGCCGCGACCCCCCTGTGCTGGGTTTTTTTATAATTAGATATCATTTATAATGATGAGCTAAATAAAAATTTGACTGGTCCATTACCAAAATTCTAAAAAATAATTTTGAGTATGGCCAACATATTTGTGTTCTAATATGTGTATAAAGACATGAACAGAGTATAGAAATCACTAGATATCTTAATATTTAAATAAAAATGTCTGAATATTTTTTAGATATGAAGACATAATTGTGTACATTATTTTCAATGTATATTAATAAAGTTTTGAAACAGTAATGTTCTCTTTATTTTTAACTATTTGGTGTTATATAACCACTACATGAAAAATTTACAAATTTTGTAATATAGTTATTAAAAGTAACTTTCTACGTTATCAGTAAGATGAATAAAAATAAAAAAAACTATTTTGCTTTCCAATTTTACGATGAATACATTTCTTCAAAAATATTCTTGTATCTGCATTATCTTCAATATGCGAAGGTTATATTTTGAATATGAATATCATATAGTATGTTAAACTTAAATTTAAAAAAAAAATCATTATTCTAAAAAAAATAAATATTTAAAATGTTGAAATTTGGAATCTATTATCAAATATTTTTCTTAATTTTCCATCAGTTGAAAAGAATTTTGTAAAGAACTTGCAAATCATTATAAGCTACATTTTTAATAATAAAAATCTTAAATTCGTAAGTCAGTCATTTTACATCATCAAAGTTCAAATATATTACCAATAATAACAATTTGTTTTCTGATATTTTATTCTTTATTTTTTGTCGATTTAAACAAATAACAATTTTAAACATTTTATTCTAAATTTTCTTCTTTTTAAATAGTCTTAATGTCTTTACTTCTTACAAAAAAAAAAGGAATATTTAAAAAGTAAAATTGATACATTTATTACAATATCCAGTAAAGTGAAGTAGAGGTATTTTATAGATTAGTAAAGGTTAATATCTGATAGTAATTAAAATTATTATCATATGACACATTAATATTAATATGTATTTAAAACATATAAAAAATAAAAATAAACATATTTACAAAAATTACATGGTTTTTACTTTAAAAGTTGATACACTCACAGAGAACAAATCAATGATATTTTTATTTTTTATTAATATATTAACAAGGGCGTATTTAGAAATTTATAATGGCACACAAAAATTTATTTTACAATTAAGGACCTACCACACAATTAATGTGACTTTTTTTTGTTAAGCTTTTGTATAATTTAGTTTAAAAAAGGAGCCCAGAATATGTGATAATTTCCTCTGTATATACTATTAGTATCTACAGAATGATACTTTTAACTCAAGCTACTTGATTTCTATTAAAAAAGTTATTTTTGTATTTTTTAATTGCATATATTTTTTGACTTATTAGTTATTAATTCATTTTTTTTTATTTATTTCTTACACTTTATTAGAGTGTCGACTTTATTTATAAACTAGTAAATACATTGTATATAAAACATTCAGTATATAAGGAAACGGATTTCTATTGTTCCTATTGTTTTTAATAAACATAACTTCTTAAACATCTTATATATATTTCCATTAAAAAACTTTTAATATATTGGATTTAAAATAGCAACTTTTTTACAAAACTAATTATATAATTTGCTTCCAAGCGTTTCTTTTGATAATGATTATAATCACTGTCAGATATCATCTATACTTGTTCCAATTATACCACGTCCATACTGCACCACGACCCTACTGTGCTATCGTTTTTTTACTTTTAAAATAAATTGTTTTTTTATTTAGTGTATTTAATGAATTTTATTTAAAATAACAATCACAAACGTTATTACTTTTTTAACATAAAATAAAATAGGATATGTTATATTATAGTACAACATAATTATTATTGCAATACATACTTCTTATTACAAGTGCAATAATTTGATATTACACTGGCATTTGGCAATTGACTATTCCGTATTATCGTAAAAAACTAATCTGTTTGTAGATGCTAATTTCTTAGACAAGATGCACCTAATACTAATGATATGTTTCTTCAAATTTTTGTCAGTATAATATAATTTAAAGTAAAAGAATTATTACCTATAAATCTTAAAATTTTAAGTTAAACCAACAAAAAATTAATAATTGGATAATCTATCGATTGACAGTCAATATATTACAGTAATGACTCTTTAAATTACATAAATTAATTATAACAGTATACTACAGAGATTATTTATTTTAAAACATTTACAAATAACTCGACAAATTGTAAAATTTTTGCTGTTTAATTAATTTATGAAATAACAATACAAAGATAATTCTTATTCTGGCAAAGGATCATCATGTGGGGAAACCTGTGTGGGTTGAACATCAGAATCCTATAACAATATAATTGAATATTTAGTTTTTAACAATTTTTTTTAAGTAAACCTAATAAATGATGTATAAGTATTGAGTAGATATTAAGTTGATACGAAATTATATCAATTTTCGTCAATCAAATTCAAAAATTAAAAACATTAGTTATTTTTGTGGATAATAATTTTGTATTAATACTTAATATTTAATTTTATCACTTAAAAGTTATTGCTTGTGACATACTTATTTTTAAATAAAAAAAATTATTATAGTTATAAATAGAAATCGACTTTATGTACATTTAATAATTTTATTTGAGTTACTTTGGAGAACCACAAGTTTGTGCAACTTTGTCATAGGATTATATAGTGGCATAGAAATAATTTAATTTTAGGGAAGGATAATTCTCCTTATCCCCCAAAGTCTATAACCATGTTAACAACATTTTTTCAATCCTATTAATACATATTTGTACTGGTTGATAATGCGTTTAGAATAACTTAACAAAATTTATAAATGCATATAAATCCGGTCTCTAGTTATAATTATTTAATATTAAAGTATTCTGTACACAGTATTTATTTATTAATCTACTAACAATTAGTTTATTTTATTATTAGTATTTTTTTTAAGACCAAATACTTAAATTAGCTATTATGGATCATCCAAAAATTTTTAATATGAATGTGTTTTCATTAATTCTTCTAATTTCTTAAAAATAAATAATAGAAGCTAGTTTATTTATGATTAAGTTAAATGATATAACGAAAATTCAGATTTTAGTAAAGTCATAAGTTAAGGAAAACGATTATTGGTTACGATTATTACAAACTTTTCTCAATTTATCAATCATGCAATACTTATATATTATATTCATAACTTTTAAATGTGTTAACATATTTTTTTGAAATGACAACATACATCATTAACTTATTTGCTTATTAGACAATAAAATAATTAAGAAATTCATGAGTCGATAACAACTTTTTGACCAGATTTTTAAATGTTATTTATAATTTTAAATGATAACAAGAGGTGAGGCACGGGATACTATTTGATCACTAGACATTTCTCGACAACAATTCTTCTTACGCTTAAGAATAAAAATATTCAAAACTTCTGAAATACATCATTCAAACGTCCATATGGACCACTAATTTTCTTAATTAGATAATTTTCTACCATTTAAGTTACTTCATTATTTATTTAATATAATAAATCTACTGACCGAAAATAAATTGAGGTTACCATTTAAAAATTAAAAATAGATACGAGTTTAGGGTATAAGGATGATAACAGAAAATTAATTTTTTATCTGAAACAGCTTACCCAAGAACCATTATTAAAAAATAAAAATAAAATAAAATAATGGTTAGTTCTAATATTTTCGAAGATATTTTATGTGACGTAGTTAAGGATCAACTTGTAATTAATGATCAAATCTTGTAGTTATTCTATTTAAAAATAATGATGAGTTTTAGTGTAAAAACTTAGGATTGCTATTTATTTATATATTTTATGCAATTTAGCAGTTATAATTTAAGTGGGTCCTAATTTTAGAACTAAATCATGACAAATCTATTTAACTATGTCTGTTTAGACAAATGATTTATAATAAAAGCATTACGAATAATCTAGATAAAAAAAATTGGTTTGGAAGTCTTATTAAATACATAAATTATTATAACTGTTAAGGTTAAATGTAACAATGATATGATATTTTCGACTAACATTCCACGTTTTATAAATACCTACTAAATTTTATCACAGGCAATATACAAACTTATAATTTATTTATTTTGATATATAATTTGTTTAAACAAGTGTATAAGCTGTAAATCAATCACAATAAGTTGTTCCATGAATTATGAATTACTTATAACTCATAATGTAATAAATTATAAACTAAAGAATTTTCAATTTTATAGAAATTTAAATAATGTAAATTGTTCATAGATATAGTTTTTCATTTGGTAGTATAATACAAATTTATTATTTGTGTTGAATCTGCAAATACTATTCTAAACGTTTCATATGTTAGATTATTTTTATTGAAAAAAGTACTAACTCAAGATTTTTTTAACATAAAAATTATGACAAATCATAAGTCAATCAGCTAATTTTGACATTTTATGCTATACTTATACAGCGAAAAAGTAATTCTCCTTGTTATCTAATTTTAACAATTATCTAAGATTTCACATTTTACACTAATACACTGTATCGCTATGATGCAATGCTGAAAATTAATAAATTTTATCATAATGTGCCCTCCTTTTTTTGTCTGTCTATGAAAATTCTCAGTTTTCCACCGGACCGATTTTGTTGATTTATGCATCAAAACATAAACGAATTAAATTTAGTTAAACATTTCAATATTGAAAATTTGAAAAAAAAATCATACATTTTTGAAATTTTAAATAAATTTTCAAAATTAAGTTTTCATAAAAATGTCATTTTTAAAAAAAAAATTTGTGTATTTAAAACTGCTTTAACTGGTTTTTTTACAAAATTTATTTTAAACATTGTTCCTAAAGAAGTTTTAGCCGTGTAAATTAGAAACAATAAGCTATTTTTTGGTATGCTTTTTAACAAGAATTTCAAAAGTAAAAGAAAAATTTGAAAGAGACCAATCACGCATATCAAAAAATTATTTTAACTTAATTTTTGATAATGTTCTGGCACGTTTGACAACTTTATATCACACATTGATTAAATATATCTCTTGCAATATCATTAAAAATATTAAATATTAAATGAAATTTGTTTTCATAAGTTAATAAAGTATCTTATATTCTAAAATTTTCAAAAATATATTTGGTTCTGTTTAAAAAAAAAAAAACCAGCACAGGTGGTCGCGGCACAGTGGTGACGTGGCATAGTTAGATCAAATATAATGATATCTGCCCCTAACCCAGCCATACTAAGTGAAAGGGTTTCTAACTTGTCACAGGGTAGTTGGCCGAAAGGTAAAGTGACCATTAGGATCCTCTATGGCACCTGGCGCACCATAGAGTATACAGCCTTATCACAGTATCGAGCTCTGCTGTGACGGACCTTTATTTCTCGACTTCTCGTGGGAACTATATGGATAAAAACAGCAAAACAACGAACTTGTGACGATTAGGGATCCTACGGACAACCTGTCGGAACAAGATCGTGAACTGGTGACTCTTCGCAGAAGAATCGCCGAACTTGAAGGTCTCAATGCCAACAACGGGACACTTGGTGAACCATCTACTAGTAAAGAGATAGCAACGTCAGCAAATGTAGACCAGGAATCGCAAGATCAACTGGGAGCAGTAGCTGACAAAATCGAGGGTCTAAAACTTAGACCTGAGAAACTGAGCGGCAGTCAGAGGCGCAAGCTGAAGAGGAGCCAAGCAATCATGGAGGGACAGAAGAACCTACCAAAGGAGGGAGACAAGGGAACCGATGACTTGAAAAAGTCAAAGGGAACCGAAGCTCAAAAACCTAAGGACAAGGATCAAGAACCTCCATGTAAGAAAACTCATTGGGTACCGACCTACAGCGACGTGGTAACCGATGATAAAAAAGTGGCTCTGGTCCTCGCAGGCTACCCCACTAACAAGTTGACCACAGAGCAGGGGCTACTCATTGAGTCTTGTGTTGGAGACTTGATACTGTCGGGTACTGATGGAACCGACGTACCAAGGTTTGAAGACACCAGACTCACTGATGGAGCACTTGTGATCAGTGCAGCCCAAGAGAGCTCTCTTAAATGGCTCACTGACTATGTCAACCTGATAAAACCTTGGGAAGGTGCAGAACTCCAATTGGAAGCCTAAAACCCGATCAAGTACAAACGGATGGTCACTCATATATCAGGGCTGCCAAAAGACTCCAAGAAGATCTTGGAAATTTTGGCAAAACAAAACCCAGGGCTGAACACGGCGATCTGGAAAGTCCATCATGAGACAGAGGTTGAACGAAAGGACAAACTTTGTTCCTAAGTGTGGACGAAAACAGCATGGTCAATCTGGAGGAACTGAAGCGCAGTCCATATTTTGGAATGGGCAGAGTTTGCTTCACAGATTACGTTGCCAAGCAGCCACCAGCCCGGACATCAACATGATGCGTCAACATCAGTTTTTCTGAATGGCTGACAATAGAATTCAATTCACGCAAATAAACCTGCATCACAGTAAAAGGGCCAGCAGTGTATTACTAAGGACCTTAACTGAGAGGCATACAATACCTCTAAAAATAGCACTTATTCAGGAACCATGGATAAATAGTGACCAGATTAAGGGGCTATATCTAAGGGATTTTAAACTGTTTCATAAACAAGCAGATAAAACAAGAACTTGCATTTTGGTTATAAATAAAGTTAAAGCCAGCCTGATACTTAATCTATCAAGTGCAGACTTAACTATTATTAGAGTAACACTAAATGATGGTAAAAATATTATAGTAGCTTCAAGATACTTACCATATAAGGTCACAGACCCAGGTAGGGACCTAACTATACTCTTTAATTATTGCAAAAATGAAAAACTAGAACTAATACTAGGTATGGATGCTAATGCACACCACACTATTTGGGGGAGCAGTAACATCAACCAAAGAGGAGAGCTTATAATGGATCTATTGCTGACTACAGACCTAAGTATACTGAACAGAGGTAGTGAACCTACTTTTGTTATCAGGAACAGGCAAAAAGTAATTGATCTGACAGTTTGTTCAAAAGGGTAACTCAAAAGATAAAAGGGTAGAAAGTGTCCTCCGAACCTTCTCTTTCTGATCATAGGCACTTACGATTCACTTTGGAAATTAATAAAGTTGAGACGAAGTACTATAGGAACCCGAAAAGAACAAACTGGGACAACTACAGGGCAGATCTCTCTCGTGACCTGAATAACCTACAGTTTAAACTGGGGTCGAGACAGAGTACTGAAAGGGTTGTAAATATGCTACAGGACTCTATTGTCTCGGCTTACAAAGAAAACTGTCCTTTAATAGAAAGGAAAGGTACAAGGCAGGGTGTAACTTGGTGGAA